GCGCTCGCGCGCGCCCCATCCAGCAGCGCACATGCAGACACTTGCGCTATGATTCAGCAGCGTGTCCTCATTGCCTGCCTAGGCCAGACCAGCTTCCTTCGGTCGGGCACCTACCTATATGGGAGCAGCTCCCCTGCTGGACGGCCCGGGCCTAGCCGAGGAAGTTTCTAGTAGCTTCAGTGTCTTGACCCAGGCCCATTCCTACAGTTAACGACCTAGGCCCTCCTTCGGGATACCTCCGGGCCCGCGGGGTAGGTGTGATGAAAATGATGCATTCTCATTGGCCCGCGGCCACTTCGTGATGTGTCGGCCTCACACTGCGTGTGCCCAGGGGGCAACCACCTGCGTCCTAGGCTCATCTGCTTGACACGGCTGCTGCTTTTGGAAAAGCCAAGGGGGAGGCCCAGGTGGCACTTGAACAAACTGACGTGCTGCAACTGTCTGATACCCATATTGGAAAATGATGAGATGAGGGCCTCTCATGGATATTCAGGGTCGCCTTCACTTAGGGCAGGCATGAGGCTTGGTGGGGGCCACGGTCGAGGACAGGAAGCTGGCCACATTCCTCCCACAAGTGTGGATCCCCACCAATCTTCACGGTAATGGGCAGCACAAGTCTTCCCTGCCACGTTTCACATCCCACTTTAGCTAACGCAACACATCCACGAAGTATGCCACTTCAGCAACAATGGCCAGCAAGGCCTTCAAAATGGCAAGTCACAGTAGCCACGTTAGCAACACACGATTGCCAAGTCCGTTCGTATGCCACGTCGGATTAAAGATACCGCTGCGGCTATGCAGGTGCCACGTCAGCACGTAAGTCGCGACATAGGTAAGTGCCATGTAAGACAATACCCTGCTGTTCCTTTGGATGCCACGTTAGCATCCACATGCCATGCCACGTCGGCAGCACTCCAAATGCCATGTTAGCAGTTCTCTCTCTCTCTCTCTCTCTCTCTCTCTCTCTCTCTCTCTCTCTCTCTCTCTCTCTCTCTCTCTCTCTCTCTCAGGTTGATCGTCGAGCGCCACCTCAGCACTTCTGCGAGTGGTACTTTTGTTGGCGCTAATTGCCACCTCAACAACAATGTGCCACGTCAGCAATGTTGCTGGTCCACATCATCACCAAGGCTTCAGGTAAGTGAGTGCGCATATCGGGAAGTCATGTCTAGACTCCCGAATATTATCACGCGTGTTTATAAATTCGGATCGATCGACGTGCAGCCTACTTACCGTACTTACCATCGTGCGTGACAGTGCGCATCAACAGATCGTGGCGTTGGAGGTAACACTCTTATACGGAATTGCAATGAACCCAGTCCGGAGAGAGACTCGTCAATGTCGAAGTGCAAGATGTCTCAGCGCATGTGAATGTCTCCAATAATCATGAATGTGATCCGAATGTCTTGTAACCAAAGGCCGAAGCTGATAGGAGGGAGATAAGAGGGTGAAAGAGTATCCATCAATGTCATCGAAGATAGATCTCCCTCATGTCACACTCCTTCGGGCATCTCCCCTCTGTCCACGTCAGCGTACAGTATCCCAAAGACGAGCTTGGCGAGAACCGATCACAACATGGTGCCACGTAGGCACAGATCTCCCATGAAGACGCTACAGCAGTGCGCAGTGTCGACAACAATAATCAGGGAAGCTTCTTCTCTCTCACAACCAATCTCACAGCCTTGTTCTCCCTCCTCGTCGATACCCCAATCTGAGTGGAAGACAAACTGGCTTTCACCACATCAGCAATAAAGATCCCAGTTGGCGCCAAGAATAGAGAGGCGCCAGCAACACAATGCAGCAGTTCTCATCGTCGTCACACACAATGCCAGCGTAGTGTCAGCGTCAAGCCAACGTCCAGCCAGCGGCGAGCAGCACGTGCAAGACTGAATGTAAATGAGCAGGGGCTGGCTCAATATGTAGTGTTGACGCAGATTGACCAGCCTCTGGTCTCTAGGATACGAGGGCTCAGATTGACCTGTTGTCTATGGCCTGGATTTCATATTGTTGCCGACTTCCACTTGGACCAGATTCTGCACAAATACCTACAAACAACCAAATGTGTGTGTCTGATCAATGGCCTGGACTGGGTCCATGTAGAAACTTTTACTCGTGACCCTCAATTTTCGAGCTACAGTTGACTATTGACTTTGTTTAGTCAACTGCCGGGTGCAGGGCCTCTGAAGCCCCACTGTTAGGCCTTGGTTTGGTGCATACAGCACCGGGCCTCGGTTCAGGCCGTGGCTCTGGCCTGATGTGGCCATTGGCCCTTGATTCGGCCCTAAGACCGAAATGACTACCCCTGGCTGACGACAATGGCATATTCCGAGCGGGTTATTACCATCCATTCTTTTTATCGTGAAAAGTCGCTGAAGTTGAGGTACTTTTCCTGTTGGCCCACGCATGGTAGAGCGTCAAAAATGGAAAATAAGATGAATCGGCGTGGCATTTATTTCACGGTCTAAACTTTTTTCTTTTCTTTTTTTTTCTGGAAAGAAAACGACCAAATCTACAGGCCTTCCAAATTTCAGATTTTATGAGTCATCTTTCTGAGCGCAAAAAATCATGGAAGTTGGGGTACTTTTTCTGTTGGCCCTCACGTGGCAGAGTGGAAAAAATCGAAAATGTGAGGAATCAGCGTGGCATTTATTTCACGGTCAATTTATAAAAAAAAAATTCCCTGATATGTTTCCTTGAAAGATCACTATCTAATCTACAAGATCTCAAATTTTCAGATTATTCATTAATTCTTTTGAGACTCTTTGAGAGCGAAAAATGCCAAAGTTGGCGGTTGGAAATTGCGGGATTGGACCTTCGTGCACCTGCTGGTCGCCGCCCGCTAAAAACCCGGCTAGTTAGGCCAGGAAGGCCGAATTTAGGCCGGTTGGGGGAGAGTGGTGGTTTAAAGACCGCTCACTGCGTCAACACCGAGTTCAGCCGCATGCCGGTCAGTACTGGTGTTAGAACTAGACGAGTTGTTTTACGAGCGCTCGCCGCCCATGCACAAGCTCTTGCAGCGCTTCCACAATTCTGCCAAATGAACAATTGAACTGAATGCTTTCCGGCTCTGTAGCCCAAAATATATAGTTGCAGTGGGCTGTTTGTGCCTGTTTCAATCGGTACCATCCTCTGCCTTTGCCATATTTGCCATTTCGTGAAAGTTCCCGACTTTCTTTGGGTGGCTGCTGCAAAATTGAACTTTAGGGACTTGACGTGCCTGCAGGTACTGTAGCTACCTACGTATGACCTCATCCTACAGACCCTAGGCCTACCCTTCCAGTACTGTAGCCTACCGGACTAACTGGGACCAGGACCTTTTCGGGACTGACTGTGTGAAATCCTTTCATCTTCATTGTCTTCTTTGTTGTCTTCCGCTTGGGGGGGAGAGAGAGAGAGGGAGGGAGGGAAACATGGAGAGAGAGAAAGAGGAGGGGGGGGGGGGGGGGGATGGGGACGGTTTGGGGAAAAGGGGGATTGGAGCATGCGCCAGTTTGTTCTTGTTTTTGTTTTCTTCTTCTTCTCCTCCTTCCTCTTCATTTTCTTCTGTTTCTTGTCTGTGTGTGTGTGTGTGTGTGTGTGTGTGTGTGTGTGTGTGTGTGTGTGTGAGAGAGAGAGAGAGAGAAGAGAGGAGGGGGGTAAGGTGATGGGGACGGTTTGGGAAATAGGTGACGCTGCTTTTTTCATTTGTTCTTGTTCTCTGTTTTGTTCTTCTTCTTCATTTTCTTCTGTTTCTTGTGTGTGTGTGTGTGTGTGTGTGTGTGTGTGTGTGAGAGAGAGAGAGAGAGAGAGAGAGAGAGAGAAGAGGGGGAGGGCGGTGGGAAAGGTAATGGGTATGGTTTGGGCAAAGGGTCTGGGAGCACATGCTGCATGGCAGCGCCTTTCATGATGGGCCGGCTAGAGTTTATAACTTTATAAGCCTCTATTGTCACATCTTTTTTTTTTTTTTTTTTTTTTTTTGTGTGTGTGTGTGTGTGTTTTTGTGTGTGTTGTAGTGTTCAGTATACACAACCTCCCCCCCAAAAAATGAAAAAAGAAAGAAAAAAGCATGACTGTGCCAGACAGTTTCCTCCTACTTTCACTGACTCAGGAGGTTGAACCCAGACAGTCTGCCAAGGATGCATTTGACTGATGGATAAGTACTCACTACGTCGCCCAGAGTTAGCGATACCCCTGAGAAAAGTGGCAGGCTTTACTCACACTACCGCTGTGTGTGTGTGTGTGTCTGTGCCCTCGCATGTGTGTGTGTGTGTCTGTTGTGTGTGTGTGTAAGAGAGAGAGATAGAGATAGAGAGAGAGAGAGAGAGAGAGAGAGAGAGAGAGAGAGAGAGAGAGAGAGAGAGAGAGAGGCATTCTTGTGTCAAGCACAGGCAAGGGCACTGCAGAAACATGGGACGAGCAACAAATTTCTATTATGGCCTGGTACGTGTAGGGTCATATGAAAATATTTGTGCTGGGACCAAAAGGCCATCTGGTCAGTGTATACTGAAAAGTTGACGCGGTACCAGTATTGGCATGATGGATTTTATTTTTAATTTTCTTAAAGCTGCCTTCTCCTTATCGGGTGACAGCCATATATTTTTCTCTCACCTCACATATTTTGAACTGGCGTTCTGCCATGTCATGGAACACATCTTTCTTTCACTACCTACCTACCACTACTCAGGCTATATAGGGGGACCCTGCAAGCATAGCTTTCTACCTCTCTTTGGTGAAGGGAGGTTATGCCATGAGCAATTTTTCCCACATAAGTGGTCCTGGCCCCTGGGCCACTCTGGTAACCTAGAAGTATGGGCAATTTGGGTGTGGCGTTATTTTTGTTGGTGGGAACAGCAAAACAGTGTTGTCGAACACTGTTTGTGGTTTGTCTTTATTGACTGCCCAGCTATGGTGTTGGCATGATGTTTTGTGTGTGCACATGTGGGAATGATGCTTGGATTCCTGTGTGGGCTTTTGATGATAAATTGACATTGAGAGCATCGATGGTGTATCTTGTGCTTTTGCAGTGTTGGAGTTGTCAGCTAGCTACCAGAAAACATTCGGCCCTCTTCGATATGCAGTTGCGGGCATGCAAAGGATGCTGAAGCTTCCAACATATGATCTTTTGGTGGAGTTCCTTCCTATGGATGACAGCGCAGATGCTCAAAGTGCTGGATTTGATCATGCGTCTGTGCCAGGCATGTGCGGTGACCTCCCTGCCATGAAAGCGATTGGAGATGAAAAGGGGTCGATGGATATCAGTGAGGAAAATGTCCACCTGGAAGTGGCTGATGTTTTCTCTGTCGATAAGACTGGGATGGAGGAAACTGCTGGATGGCGAGAAGACCCTGTACCTTCCCAGCGTTCACCACTGAGCCACATTGCGGTGGGTGAGATTGACTTAGATCCTACTGGGGGAGTGGTATCTGGAGGGAAGGGAGTCATAGAGGATGACGCTGCTGTCAAAGGGCCACCGGTAATACCGGTGATTGGTGAGGTAAGAGGTCCTAGTACATGTGAGCGTATGGATGAGGGTGAGAGTAATGATGCACAGCGTGATGCAGTTGAGGATCTCTGTAAGCGTGTCGGTGGCGGTGCCCTAGGGGACGAGAAGGGGGTACAAGGTGATGGGATGGATCGGTTCCGAAGGTTCCTCTTGGGCTCCAAGGTGCGGAAGAGTGTTTCTGCTTGTAATTTATTTGCAGAGAAAGGTTCAGGCCATGGTGCAGGTTCAGGGCATGGTGCAGCCCCACCACTGAAGTCTCGCAGGTGTTCTTCAGAGAAGTTTGCTGCTCTGCCATCCGAGGAGCCTGCGGCAGAGGTGCTGACAACATCGTCCTGTTCACCGTCTTGCTCACCAAAAACTAGGAATCGTGCTGGTGTACTGTTGAAGAGCCGATCATCAGCCGATGCTGGTGGCATCCCAGCCAGCAAGTTGGGATCAGGATGGGCTCCCGTGAATGTGGAGAACATGAAGGGTGAGGAGGAAAAAGTCAAGGAACGAGAGAAGAAGGGACCAAAACATGGTGGGCATTGTTTCCCTGTTGGGTTTGTGACGATTGGTTTGAAAGGCTGGAAGAAGGGTAATAAGAAGTCAAAAGGCGGTGAAGCCTCTGGGAAAGGTGAGGGAAAGGGAAACGGGAGAGCACTGGACGACAGAGTGGTGATGAAGATAACCGACGATGGTGTGCAGAGCTGTCAGGGAGCTGTTGCTGGGAAATGGGTTCAGAGGCAGGGTCCTTTCCTCTGTGTAATTGCATGCAACCATCAGTGTAAAAGTGTGCAGTGCTTCGACTCACAGAGCTTGGCCCCTCTTGCGGGGGCTGATGATGGTGGCCTGGATTTGCTCCTTGTCAGATCTGTTGGCCGTTTCCAGCTCCTGCGGTTCCTCTTCATGATGCAGTTTGGGCGGCATATAACCCTTCCCTATGTTGAGTACACAAAGGTAAGCAGCCAGGGGGGAGGGACTACCCAAAATTATGTTATGAGTTTTTGTCACAGGTAGGCTGCATGTGGATTTGGTTTTGCTCGTCCTTGTCTCAATTGTTCGTTATGTTCAACACCCCTTCCCCTGTTGTTTGCAAATCCCCGCTCAACATGTATGGTTATATGAGAGAGAGTAATAAGAGAGCAATATGAGAGTAATATGACAGGCTGCACTCGTGTTGCTTTTTTGAATTTCATTTAAACAGCCAGTACCTGTCCCGGCTGACTTTTTCCAACCTCCGGCGTGCGTGGAGGCAGAGTAGAGACCTGGTTGACACCGGGCAGAGGGTTGTATTTGAAGGTTAGCATGGCACCCGAGGAGGAGGGTCAATGGCCTTTGGTGTTCTGAGATGGTCACAGCCCCTGTGCACATATCAGACAGAAAAAACAAAAAAGACTATAAAGGAAGACTGTCACACGATGCCACCCTCTGCTGCACAACATCGAAATGTTTCAGGTGCTGGTAGTGGTCCCGACAGAGTTTAAGCGTTGAATGAGCCTGAATGTGTATAGTCGAGAATGCACTCAGATACATGTAGGTTGTTGTCTGGAGTACTCAGCCACGAGTCTCATGGTCCCAATCGAGGTTTAAAACCGGTCGTCCAAATATAATCCAGAATGCACTCAGATACGCGTAGATTGTTGCCTAGTGGTGCGAGGCCCTTTGTCTGAAGTACTCAGCCACGAGTCTCGATTCTCGATTATCGAAGGATCGTGATATTGAGGGCCTTGCTCCACTGCACAGCATCGTAAACGTGCTGGAAAAGGTCCCCAACATTCACGCAGTCCTGGTCTCTCAGGGAATTGCTGCAGTGCCCGCCTTTTCCAGAGCGTTTTCCTTCCGTTGAAAAACAAAAAAGAAAAGACTCATGGCCCCTATTTCCCTTGTCCCTGCAAGTCCCTTCTCACTTTCTCGGTAGACAGAAGTGTTTGCTTCCAGGTCTCTAGGCCAATCTTGGTACCTACCCCGCTAAGGTGCTGGTGGTTTAATTCATTCCAAAAGACCTTTGTTTGACTGATCGTGCATCCTGGGGGTGCTGAGGGGTGACAACAGTGAAATCGAAAAGAGCAGGTGAATACTGGAGAGAGAGAGAGAGAGAGAGAGAGAGTTGCACAGTCAGGGAGATACAATTAGTCCAGCTAGATTTAAATTAGATCTTGGACTAGAGTGAGATTGGGTTTGTCATTGGATGGTAGGAAAGGACCATATTGGAGTCGGATAAAGATTGAGGATAGGATAGATCTGACAAGTGTCCCTACGCTATTAAAATCGCTAGCGTCACACATCTAAGATCCAGGCCGTCCCAGGTCCTACCGGTCCGCGGCCCAGATTGTGGAAAGACTAACAAATCTGCGATCTGGGCCGTTGGCCTGTTGTGCCCTACCAGACGGACGGCCTGGATCAACGCGATCGTCGAAAGAATGTAACAATTTGTGATCTGGGACGTCAGGACCTACCGGACCGAAGAACTGGATCGACGTAGTGTTCTGATCTTAAGACCGCACCCAAATCCAGGTCGTCAGTTCGGTAGGGCCAGGCGGCCCAGACCACAGGTTAATCATCGGGTGATGAGGCCATTGGGCCGGTACGCCAGTCCTAGCACCTTTCCTTTTGGCCCTACTGCCTTTTCCCGATGCTTAGGCCCGTTTCCTGGCATGGGTGGTAGGGTAACGTTGCTTCGCCCATTACTTCGGCTCTCTCTCTCTCTTTGTGTGTCTGGCGTGTAAGCTATGGTGGGCCCGGTGACGTGCGGTGGACAGTCTTGAGCTGTGGTGTGCCTGGTAATTGACATGTGGTGTACTCTCGACGCCTTCGATGACGCTACATGAAAGAACTCTCAAGTTAGTATTTTGCTCCCTCGACCTCCACCCCGGCCTCCGTGCCTCTTCGATCACCCGGCTCCGCTTTCCCACTCCCCGCGCTTCCTTGCCCCCGTCCTCGACGACTCAACCCGCCCATTCCACCGAGATAGATAGATAGATAGATAATGTAATGGCCTGCCAAACACGGACTGAGATGCAGCTGATTTCTGAGTTTTGTTGCTGAGTTCTCTAACTCTGTGTGTGTGCATGCTTGCTGGTCTGCATGCCTGTTTGAGTGCTTGTTGGCTTGAGTGTGTGTGTGACCTGCAAGGGCACTTTGTTCGTTCAGAGGGCCCGAAGGGCCGGTACTTACCTGTGGCCGGGACATTGAGGGTTGCAGCGGGGAAAACACTCAAGTGGTGGGGAAAGAGGCCCGGGACACTTGAAGCAGCGGAAAACACTCAAGTAGCAGGTACACCAGGTAGAGGTAGATGTGCCGGGTGCTCGAGGCCGAGCAGAAGAAGACGAAAGCTGGCATCTTTAGACGCCCAGTAGTTGTCGGCTAGGTCTAGGTGGGTACCAGTCCAACCAGTCTGATTCTAGGGCCTGTACGGGCAATATCAGAGTCAGCAATGATGTCCCCCGAAAGGGAGGAGCTACCGGTTGCTTGGAGGCCGCACGGCCTAGGAAGTCCCTCGCCAAGAGGCAAGCAGGCCGCTATATCTCCAGGAGGAGCAATGTGCTCCGGCTCACTTTCGGCGTGCGAGTTTGGCGACACACTGGTTGGAGCGCTGGCTGGAGCAGCGCTAGCACAGAGCTGCGCTGCTGGTGAAGGAGCAAGGACAGGAGGAGGAAGTGGCTATGGTGGACCTCATGTGATACTTTCAGTAGAACTCAGATTTGGACATTGGTTTTGGTTCAGCCATTCAACATTATTACTATTATTTCTTGTTTGAATAAGAGGGGAGGTGATAAGGAAAGGAGAGTGGATGGCGAAGAAGAAGGGCATTATCATTGGTCTATGCGGGTGTACATCGTCTTCTTCTTTCTTTCTTCTTCTTGTTGGAAAGAGGGAGCACCAGAGGTACTTACCTGGCTGTAGTGGTTGCCATCTTCATCACCTTGGTGGGCGCTGCAGCAGGAAGGCCCCAGCTGGGGTAGAGCTTCACCAAGAAGCTTTGAGGCAGAGTCAGGCATGGCAGCCTGAGCTAGAGCAGCCATAGCTGCTTTGTGTTGTTCTTTGGACAGCAGGGCGATGCGCTGGTAGTCTGCCATAGCCTGGCCCTTAGAGGAGGACAAAGAAGGGTGACCATGGCTATGGTGGACCTCATGTGATACCTGCAGTAGAAGACGGATTCGGACATTGGTCAGTTTGCTTCTTTTATTGAAGTCCATTATATGCCCGTAGCGACGCGCGGGCAAGAGAGAATAGAGCGAGAGGCCATGGCAACAAAAGGATCTAGTAGTTCCAACATGGCATCAGCCAAGCTTTCTGATATTCTAAAGGCTGCTGTGGATGCAGCGGATGAAGAAGAACCATTGTACCAGGCCCTTTATCAGAAGGAAATGGCCAAGGAGGAAAAAGAGGAAGAGGCTAAGCGGAAAACAGCCGCTGAAGATATTGAGACCATTCTTAAAACCATCTCAACCATGCTTGATGCAGATATTAAACCACCAGTACTTGGCCCAGCTATCGATGTCGAGCCTGGAATGCCCCTGCGCGCCGATTTTCGCTGAAGCGCCGGGGTACCATTTCAATTTTTTTTTGGCTGGTGCTTCCAGCCATTGAGGTCCGGTACCCCGAAGCCCTAAAGGTGTGGCGCGTTAACGGGAAAGCGTCGTGGCCGATAGCTGGGCCAAGTACTGGTGGTTTAAGAAAGATCTGGTCAAGTATTTTCATGCCTTCGTAGAGTACCATTTACTCAGTGAGCTCCCGAGTTTAAAGTCCCAACTACTCAATGAAATAAGTCAGATGCGTACTCAGGTGGCAGATATGGGCAAGGAGTGTCGCGATCAGATGCATCAGACCCAAATCTCAAGCTCTCTTCCCGAACCTCTTGCTGCTAACCGTTCTACTTTTGCACCTCTCCATCTCTCTCCTTCTTCTTATCTTCTTCGTTGAGTTTGGTGGTAAATTAGTTAGGACCTGCAACAGGTGCAGATTCTGCTGCCGCTACAAGTGCCGCAGCCCTGAGTTCAGATCCAGCAATGGCTGGTCCCAGCTATAGCAGTCCATACATGGACAGAAAGGAGGTGATGGATCAGCTCAATGAGAGCGTGCTTTCAGGTGCAGGGCACTCAAAGAGTGAACCAGTCCTTGATCCTAGGGATGAACGAGGCTGTTGTAAGGGGCTTCCTAGAAGTAAGCTGTGCAAGTTGGGTATCCCAAGATCGATCTAACGGAATGGCTTAAAGTCACTCCGGCGACCGCTCTCGAAGTGATTCTAATTTTGCGCAATACAAAGACCCACATGCTGCAAATAGAGTAAAGATCCAACTCGATGAACTTAAACGCAGCAAGTGGCAAGGCACCATGCACAAATTGCAGTTGCATATTGGCAAACTCTTTGTGACACTAGGGTTGGAATTGATTAATTATGCTTCGATGTTGGTAAAGGTACGGTTCTTACCCATTTCACCAATCGTGCAGGCTAGGATTTCCTTGGTTACACTGACTGGTTCTCCTTGATGAGGGGAGTACTCAATCTGGAGGCAAGAAACCTCCTTACCACAACAAGCAGCAAAAATACATTTGTTCGCAGACGGTTTTGTGGCAGCAACCGTCTTGCTGCGCTCGACTTGCTGGAGGTGGAAGGGGAGGCCGAAGCAGACGACCCCACTCTTGGCGACAACCAAGAACATGACGTTGATACAGACTACTCTTCCACCCCAGAATCTGAGATTAATAACGAAGATGAAAAATTTGTTGCCTTCAGAAGGACTGGCCATACTAAGGAAAACCAAAATCGGAACTCGGTAAGGAACTTTGTTGCACTCCCTAAGGGAGCCAAAATCCCAGTCACTCCGGAGGATGGAAGTACTAAACCTTGGGTGGACCTCCGGATCAGTGAGGCTGAATGGAAGGCTAGGATAAAGAAAGGAGGTTGCCTGCATGGACAGAAAACAAATCATAAGGTCCAAGGATGCTTTAGGCTG